TGTATGTGGATCTTTGGTTATTCGGGTTTTCTCCCGCGTAAAATTGGAAGTATCTAGGCAACGTTTCAATGAAGTCTCATTTATCATCTTCAGGCTTGTGTCTTCGACTCTGTGCACAGAGCCGAAGACACAAGCCTGAAGATGATGAATGAGACTTCATCAAAACGTTGCCTAGATACTTCCAATTTTATGCGGGGGAAAACCCGAATAACCAAAGATCCATATAAATATATATATCTAAATTAATAGAGAAACAGCTTAATAAAGTGAATATCCAAACAGCCAAATTAAGAACGCCTGAAAGGCCAAGATAATAAAGAGAGGCCTTCAAAATTAAGGTGCACAGGTGGACACGGGCCTGGATGTTCGCTGTTGTGCCACTGGGTAAGGCTGTGAGGTTTTGCCAACAATAATAAAACGGATGGCCTCGAATCTAACAAGAAAACAAGGTATAATAATTCCTTAGATTATCAGAAGGAAAAACCTCTGATTGGGAATGAAAATTACCTCATGCAGCTCGAGTTACAAATAGCGTGGCCACGGTTTTTTCTTTTTTTTAAAGTAAAGGCAAAAACAATGGCCGTTATTTGTGGCGTGCGCACGCTTCCCAGCAACGAACTCCCGCCGCATGGGGAAATGCCTCTGACAGCTTCTCCTTGTGGCTAAAAGGAATGGCAGGGGAAGGGGTGGAAAGAATTCTTACTGCTTTTCACACCAAGACGGCGTTCTGAGGGGAAAACTCAAACGATACGACTCGGATGAGAGCGAAAACGCCTGCGCCGCTATTGCCGATATAGAGAAAGGCAATGAGGAATCATAATGGCAGTGGGTAGAACAAGCAGATGGGGTGGTCGGAGCAATGCCGAAGCCTCCCACCACTTCAGGTGCGAAACAGCGCTTCCCGAAAATGCAAATGATCTCCAATGAGATCCAATAACCAGATGGAGAGAGCTAAGTCGGGAGATCGTAAAGTGATTTGGAGACTAAAAGCGTGAACAAAACAAACTGGACTTTATCCAAACCTGCTGAGTAATACTCCTGTTTTGGCCAAGGAAGAACAAAAAGTACTGCCTATCCGCAACGAGGCTGAGCCAAAACTGGGGAACGCTGGGGAGGAGTCCGGTGGAGGAGGATTGCTCCACAAATTAAGCCCAGCCGAGACATGCAGAGACTGAAGCACCTCCCCACTACTGGATGCTCTTAACAATGGTGGCAAGAAAGGTCGTAGAGTGAGGTAAAATTCAATGGTCGTAGAGTGAGGTAAAATTCAAATGTTTTGTTTAGCAGCGGAAACATTGGGCTCGGTTGTGGTCGCACAGATAACTGTCCTACCAAAAGCAGATTCTCGGAAGCAAACACAAGACAACAATGCTATAGAGGAAAAAGAACACTTTGCACAAACACAGGGGTGGCACTTTTCCCTCACAAATATACCAAGAGGACCATCACGGCCCCCAACAAATACATCCACAAAACAAATATATATTCTGTAAAGTCTTCCTTAAATTAGATATATGCCATCATCTGCCAGCAATGCCCCTTCGGATTCTATCATCATCCTCTTTTAATGACTCCCTAATCTCTTGCGGGGTGGAGTTGGGGCAACTGAATGGAGTGTTTACTGGCCGGATGCCCTTCCTGTTGCCAATATGGAGGGTTTTTTTCCCAGCAGATATATTCTCCCCTTTGGATTCTATACTCAAAATAATTAGACAGGCACAATTTTGACATTGTTACTCACTCAAGGACAAAGTAGAGAAAGTCCTCGACTTACGAGGACACCTGAGCCCAAAATTTCTGTTAAGTGAGAGGCTTGAGTCTCTTCCACATAAGGCCTCAAATTATAGAACGTCCTTGTTCATTGACTGCCTTCTTTAGCGACAATTGACAGGGATGAAAAAAAAAGTGAACAACCAATTGTCACGTTTGTAAGACTATCAAGCAAAGGAAAGCTGAAGAAAAATGACTCTCACAGTTGTGATTCACTTTGCTAATGCTTTGAGTTGCCTGTTCCAATGGCGGTCACTAAATGTGGACTATTTACAATTGTTTCGGTACAATAGCACCGTTATCTCAGCCCAACCCACCTCACAGGATGGTGGTTGTGGGGAAAGTAGGAGGAAGAAACTATGTTGCATACGTTCACCAGCTCAAGTTATTCTTAAAAATAATAAAGGTGGGATGTAAGTAAATAAAAAAATGAATTAACAAACATCAAAAGGTTTCAGCTAATCTTAGGTCTCAATAAACATAATTAACATTATATATATATATATACACACATACACAAACTGATAAGGCACTTTCACTCTGTCTCACATCTAGTTTATACATCCAATTTCTTTTGCCCTTCCTCCATGCCAATTTGTATCTTGCAAACTGGTATTTACAATTTATATATAATTTATATAATATATATGCCGATATTTACTCCACTATCCGATGAGGTAAGATACAGCTCACAAAATTTCCTGCTTTTTAGTAATATCTGTTGGTCAGAAAGGGTGCTGTGAGAGTCCCATTTCCGCCCCCCAGGAAACATTAGAATCCTACTTATCAAACCAGCCAATGCAAGTCTTGGCGCTAAGGCCTCTCTCAACAAGCCAACATTTCTTCCAAATCATGGTTTTGTTAACCAGGAAGCAATTTTGCAATATATTCACTTACCTGAAATTCTGGAGAAGTTTCACAACCTTTTCTTTTTTTCTTTTTTGTTGAATAAACAAACACCTGTGACCCAATATTTATTTATTTATATTTCGTATCGCTAAACCACCTTTCTACCCTTGAAGAAGGGCTAACGTGGCCATAGGTAAGCAAAACAAAGATTCATGAAGCACCAAACCAGCATCTCTGGGCCAGTCTTTTAATTACTGTCAGGTGTTCCACTCAGCTGCAATCCATGGACCTAACAGGTTAACTCTTTAAAGCAGGGAGTCTCCAAATTTGGCATTGTTTTTAAAAAAGACTTTTGGACTTCAACTCACAGAGGGGCCCCAGGATGATGCACCCCCCCACACAAAAAAAAAACCCTGAATACAGGCTTATTGCCAAGTGCCCAAATTCTGCACACACAATGGTGGGGATGCTGTGATGTTCGTATGTGTGCAGAACAGCCATAAGTCACTTTTTCAGTGACATTCTAACTCTGAATAGTCGCTAAACCAATTATTGTAAGTCCCGGATGACCTGTATTTAAGGAAGTAGAGAAATCTTTGGATAACTTTGCCTTCTGGAAGTCTCTTCTGGAAGCCTCTTCTGGAAAACTCTTATTTTGTATCCTTCAAATCTTTAAAAAGGGAAAGGGGTTAAAGCTGTGATGGCGAACCTAGAGTGGCACACAGAGACGCTTCTGCCGGCACGCGAGAGGTTGCCTGGAAAAGCCCCACTGCACATGCCTATGGCTCCCCCGCCAGCCAGCTGATTGTCCGGTATCTGCCACGCATTCGTAAGGGGAGATGCGTGTGTGGGAGATGCGCACATGCACAGAGGCATGCGGTGTGCAGGGGGGGTTGTGTGCACATGTGCACGTGGAGTCACGGGCGCATGCGCAGGGGGAGTTGTGCATACATTGCATCCTGGGTGCAGGCGCGGGCGCTCATGCGTGCGCCCTTTTGGCACACTACGTAGAAAAGGTTACCCATCACTGGGTTCGTGTTTTTGGCCCTATTCCTTCTACCGATGTCACTTTTCCCTCTTTTTCTTTTCTCCTGATGGCCTGTCGCAATTGGCATGCTGGCAGTTGTGTTCCTAACTCCGCAAAAGTGGCCCAACGCTGTGTAGCAGTGAAACTACAATTCACACAGCATACAAATCAGTGATGGCGAACTTTTTTGTTGTGGTGTGCCGAAAGCGCATGTGCCAGCACCTACAATGCAATGCACCCTGCCGCCCTGCGCATGCATGTGCAAAAAACCCTTTTACCTGCACTGCGCATGCCCATTTGAAGCATTTTTCAGCCTCCTGGACTTCCAGTATTTCCGGATGGCCTGTTTTTCGGTCTCCAAAGGCTGCAGAGGTTTCCCTAGAGCCCCCGGGAGGGTGAAAAAAAGGCCTCAAACAGGTTGAAAATCAGCTGGGAGGTGCGCATGTGCAGTGCACATGGGGCTCACACGCTCACGCAAATGGCACTGTGTGCCACCTATCCGCCATCACGGATATAAATCATGGGTATCCAACCTTGGTAACTTGAAGACTTGTGGATTTCCAATTCCCAGAATTGACTGGGGAATTCTTGGGAGTTGAAGTCCACAAGTCTTCAAGCAGCCACTGTCAAACACTCCTGATTTTACATGCTATCGGCAGAACATGTTTGGGATTATTTACAACATAATACTTCTGATTAATAATGCTTAGGAACACCGGCTCTCTTCTCTTGGAATTGCTACAGCATTCTGCATCATTTCTGCTGTTAAAAAAGTAACATAAAATCTGAATATTCCCAAAAAGGAAAGTAGAATAAAGAGAATACACAGCAAGTACCGGTAATATACTGTATGGACCATTACATACAACAACAAAAACCCACAACGTTTAACTTGGAAAAGGGAATGTCTATGAACCGGACAAGTCATTGCACAATAGGATTTTTCAATTTATTATCTTTGCCACAGTACAAATATTCACAAATCAGTCGTTCTTTCACTGTCAAAGTTTGTAAACAAGTGCCCACATTTCTTCCTAACCCAGGTTTAAGTTTGTGAATACCTTAGAAAGCCCATCATGGTTAAAAGGACTGATATTTTCCCGCTTGGGTATGAAATCAGAAGCCGCTCCTCTTGACACATATTTCTACCCAGACAGCCTGTGCAAGGCCATAAAATCATAGGCTCTGGATTAGCATGATCTTTTTACAACAGGACCCAATCCGTTAGGTTAATAAATGCATTTAAAATGAGGTTCCAGTCCCAGAAGTTAAACGGTTAGAAATGTTAAGCTTCTACATGGAAACAAACCTAAACAAAACAAAAAAACCCAACAGTGAACCAACCCAATCTCTTTCTTTATTTTTACAAGTTTTAAAACTGTTTCACTTGCAAAGATACTTTCCAGTCAGGAGAACAGTAGTGCAATTTAAGTAGTTGTACTTCATTCAAAAAGTTATGTTATGTCCAGTACACAATACCATAGCTTCTATGGAAAGATTAAGAAGATGCTCAGGTAAACAAGAAGAAAAAAAATGGCAAGCCCATGTAGGCTTACAGGTCCATTTAAAGCTTGTGTTAAAGTGTTGCTGATTTTTTTTTTAATTTTAAAAAACATTTTATATATAAACTAAAAAAAAAAAAGCAAGAAATAAATAGACAAATGACCGTAGTAAACTGTCTTGAAATTGGAAAAATTTCTCATTGACAGCTGATGCAAGTGGACTTTAAAACAGAAAAGAGAGTTTGACCTAAAGAAGAGATTTTTTTCTCGCTGTGGCCTAGGAAAGTCTGACAACTACATACTTAATTTAAATAATAACAATAATAATGACCGCCAAGTCAAAGAATGCCATGTGGTTGAAAAGTTGTGTGTGTGTGTGTGTGTGTGTGTGTCCTCCGAGCAGCCTTACTTGGATTTCTTCTTGAAAAGGCTCTTGATTTTGGATGGTTTTTTGTTTCGCTCTCCGTTATGACAAAGGTCTTGTGAAATGCTACTGATCCGGGAGACGGGAGAAGGTTCGTGCCGGGCTCGGCTTTCGCTGCTGGTGGAGGAACATGAGGTGTGCCGAGGCTTGGGGACAGGAACGCCGCTGCTGGAAAGCTGGTTCATGCTGCAGGACTTCTCCAGGATGCCGTTGTACACTTTGCTGGCGGGACTGAAGATCATACTCTTCGTTTCTGTCAGTCCCGCACAGTCCGGGGAACCCCGGGAGATATCGGCGGTGAGGGAGGAAGAGTCTCCGGTGGAGGATTGTTCTAAGGACACATCCTCCTGGGATGTCTTTTGAGGGGAGAGGGGTTGATATATTTCAAGGCTTGAAGGGGGAGACTGCTTCCTTCCAACGGAAGAGTTGAAGGAGTCGCTCTCGGAAACGGTATCCTGAACTTCCCTGCAACGCAGAGGAGATCAAGGGATCGAGTTAATCTGTACAGTAGGCACTCAAGACCATTCGATGGGGAACATAATAAGGTTTATACCCTGTTTCCCTGAAAATGACTTACCCTGAAAGTAAGTCCTAGCTTGATTTTTACATATAAGCCCTACTCCTAAAATAAGCCCTAATTAAGATCCCGCCCACTCCAGAGTAGATGGGTAAAAATTAAGCTAGGGTGGAAATGGGAGGGGTGGAGCTGCCCTACTACTTACCTTAGGACAGTTATAGCCAGGCCTCACACACCCCGACACCCATTTCTTCTGCAGCCAGCAAGGCTGGCAAGGCTTTCCTGAAGGCCTCTGTAGCTGATAACAAAGCTCCGGATCGATCCAGAGCTCTGTTATTGGCTGCAGAGGCCTTCAGGAAAGCCTTGACGGCTGCAGAAGAAGAAGTTCCTAAAGGCTTCACACAGTGAAAAGGAGGCTGGGGCCGCCGCCGCAAATGAGGTTAGTCAGTGGATGACCTACCTCGAAAATAAGACCTGGTGCCTTTTTTGATGGCAAAAAACCCTACAAGACAGGGTTTTATTTTCAGGGAAACCCAGTAAAAAGGCAGTCCTTGACTTAAAACAGTGACTGTTCAAAAATACAATGACAGTTTTTCACACTTATGACCACTGCAGCAACCCCATGGTCACGTGATCAATGCGCTTGGTAACTGACTCATATTTATGAGGGCCTAGTGTCTCAGAGTCATGTAACCTTCTGATAACCAAAGTCAATGGGGAAACCAGATTTACTTAACAACCATGTTACTAACTTAACAACGGCAGTGGTTCACTTAACAACTATGACAAAGTCGTAGAACGGAGCAAAATTCACTTAACAACAAAATTTACTTAGCAACATAAATGTTGGGTTTAATTTTGGTCGTAAGTCAAAGACTATCTGTATCTGTCAAGGCTCCACAGAATCGAAGAGTAAATAATTAGTAATTCTAATGTACATGGATATTCTCAATCATCCAGGCCATGGTTGTCCCAAAAGTGCTTTTCAAAAGGCAAATGGACTTTTGTTTGTTTTTTTCTCCTTTAAAATGTTTCGTTCCTCATCCAAGAAGTTTCTTCAAAATTTCTTGGATGAGAAGCGAAACTTTTTTCAAGAGGGGAGAGGGAGGAAATACAAGAATGTCCAGTTGCCTTTTGAAAAGCATCTTTGGGATATTCTAATGTATTTGCAGCAAAAGACAAAGCAAAATGAAATGAAATGAAATAAAAATCCCTCCCCTGACTTGCTATCTTCATATGTTCCCTTCGTGCTCTTCTTTCTTAGCAAGCATCCTTAAATTGAGATATAATTATGTCTTCTGGTTTACGTAAGAAGTAATGTTTCTATTATTTGGCTTCTGAAGATACCTGCGTACATCACAAAAGAACAAGTACTCATGTCTGCAATGTTTAATTAAGTTAAATGTTACACAGGAATTGCACCTCAGTTGTGAATAATAAATAATTTGATTCAATGCTAATTAGTGTGTGTGTGTGTGTGTGTATCTATCTATCTATCTATCTATCTATCTATCTATCTATCTACACACACATTTATGTAATCCTGTTAATTAAGAATAAATGTTTAGAAGTAAGAACTGTTTCTCTAATCCAACACTACTCCAAAACTATATTCACAAAGCTCCAAAATTATACCCATTTCTGTATAAAGAAGTCAGAAAAAAAAAATCTGTTGACAGTTTTAGTCAAGTTTGCAACCCCAAACATATCAACTTAGAGAATGCTGTCCTTTTGTACACTTTGCAACCGACTCATAAATGTCATATAAAATGTGTATAATTTAAAAGCATAGATTATGCTCATTATGGAAGGAAATAATACGTGCAAAAATCTTCCATCCCTTTGCCGTATCTTGTTTTAAGGCTTCCAACCAGAAGGAAGGTAACATGCAGGGAGGAGTGACAGATTTCAACAAAATCCATCAGCCCCAGCTGAGAGCATTCAATTATAGCAGTGGTATTTCTCACGATATGGGAGGTCAACTTTTGCCTACTGAAAATATTAAGAGGGAAACTCAAAAGTCTTGAATTATGCAGAAGCTCCACTGCATTTGTTTCACAGCCAGTGATGGTTTCACTTCCATCGCAACAGCCTAAACATGGCAATTCTTTTGTGATATGTGGTAGAGAAACCAGCAAGCATATCTCTAAGAGAGCCTCAGGGGTGCAGTGGTTAGAGTGCAGTACTGCAGGCCACTTCTGCTGACTGCCATCTGTGTGCAATTTGGCAGATCGAATCTCACCAGGCTCAAGGTTGACTCAGCCTTCCATCTTTCCAAGGTGGGGTAGATGAGGACCTGAATTGTTGGGGGCCTTATGCTGACTCTATAAACTGCTTAGAGAGGGCTGTAGAGCACTATAAAGCGGTATATAAGTGTTATTGCTATTGCTAAAAGTCCGGCTATTTGTGGTCCTTGGTTTGATATGAAAAGCCCTATAAATAATTAGAGCTATATTTCGAAGGCTCCGCTAGGTGGCAGTGTTAGCCAGTCATGTCTAATCTAGAAAGCTAAGCAGATTAGTATCTGAATGGAAGTCTATGTTGGAATCCCAGGAACCAGACTAGGAAAAAAAAATTTAAAAAAAATTCCAAAGAAGGCAATAATGAGTTATTTCTCTATTATTCCAAGAAAGTTTCATGGATGCGCCCACATTAACTCAAGGGGATTCCAACTCTACGGAGAGTCTCTTCAAAATGAGAGAGGCAGCAAATAAATAGATAGATGATAGAGATAGATAGATAGATAGATAGATAGATAGATAGATAGATAGATAGATAGATAGATAGATAGATAGATAGATGATAGATAAGATAGATAAAACCAATAATAATAGGATACACTATACTATTGAAGCACTACCTAAGGGCTGCCTAGATACATGGAAATTTCGAATTTATTAGGCCTGAATATTCTGACTTCCAAAAAAAAAAAAACCCTGCCTTACTCAGAACTGCCTATTTACTCAGACGCTGCCTTAAAACAGTTTTTAGGTTAGGACTTGAAGATTTTACCACTCATAGACTGAAGATTGACCATAATAATATCAAAACAACCTCCCTTCCTAATCGAAGGGAGGAGTCTCCAAACGTGGCAACTTTAAGACCTGCGGAATTCTGGGAGTTGAAGTCCACAAGTCTTAAAGCTGCTGTATTTGGAGACCCCTGATCTAAGGTGACCCCAATTTCTCTGCTGGTCAGTCTTTCAGTTCTTAGATAAATGGATGGATGGATGGATGGACGGATGGACAGACAGACAGACAGATAGAGAATAACATTTAACACAACACAATACTCAAGCAAAATGATTCGGTTGAGATTGGCACATGTGGGACTGATTGGCGTAGCTTGTAGGGTGACACCAAAGTATAATTGTATTTTAGTAATAATTTATGTCTGGAACTCTGCACTTTGATATGGCCCATACATACATACATGTGTGTGTGTATCTGTCTGTCTGTCTGTCTATCTAATTTCTTTTTAGTGCTAATGTTCAAAGTGGAGAATGCCCATAATTCATCCTCCCTCATGGTCTGTCCAGGAATGTGCCCAGGTTCGTACCATTGCTTGTCAGCGGTGAAGTAAATCGCTTCCTCCTCTTCTTCGGTACGATAAGCAGCAGGGCAACTGGACACGGAAAGGAGGTCGGGGTCTGCAGAGGGCAAAGTTGCCTGCGTGTGCGCAGCGTTGGGTGTTTGCGCTGTGTGTTGCAACTGAGGCGATGACGGCACCACATTTCGCCTGGAGCGATACATGCTGCTACTCCGTGCTAAGGTGCTGGTTTTCACAGCAGACCCTGAGAACAACAGAAAAAAAACCCGATTCAGAAGCCCCATTCCTCAGTCCAGCATCCCCACCAAAATATTACTCTGCTCCACGAAGGCAGAAAAAACCCTCTGGACAATCCTTTCTTTATAAAACGGGGTGTTGCTGTTTTTCTTCCTAATCTTCTTTTAACGACCCCATAATCCCTTGCGGGGTGGAGTCTGGGCAACTGAAGGGAGCTAGCAGAGGGTTTACTGGCCGGATGCCCTTCCTGTCACTAATGCGGAGTTTTGTTCAACAGATATATTCTCATTGTGCCCAGAGAAATATCTGCCCCTACCTAGCATTGAACTCATAACCTCCTGATTGTGAGGCGAGAGCTCTGCTTCTAGGCCACCACACCGCTCCTTTTTTCCCCCCATAAGTCCACCTTCCCCACCTCCTTGAAGACACAAAAACACTGAAAAATCCTTTCTTTATAAAATGGGATGTTGTTGTTTTCCTTCCTAATGCTCTTCTTTAAAATACGACAGCCGAGGAGACAGACAAGGCGAGGGTGAAACTGAGCTCTGCTCGATGGCATTTCACAGTAGCTTTGGTTACCGCCTAGTAAGAGGCGGCCACCTGACTCAAACATTTAACAGAAACCAACACGGTTCCCTTTCCATTGAAGCCCAAGAAAAGTCTCGGGTTTTCTGTTGACGCTAAGAATATTCTGCATTTATTCTGGATTTATTTTATCAATGGTTGGAAGACAGAACAAGCTAAAATTGAGTAGATGAATATATCAAGAAATAAGTCAAGAAGGCTGTAAAGATAATAGATATAAGAAACAATGATTAATAAAGAAAATGTGATTACTGTCAACTCATAAAACATTCCCATGCCCATTTTAATAGTTGCCATTAAAAACAAGACGAGGGAGGAGGAAATCTGGAAGAACAGTTGAAAGCAAAAGTACATTCCAACTCTTTATCTTTAAAAGACTGTAACTAAAATACCAGAGTTTTTGCCCGCAAATATATTTAACTGGAGAACGGGAAGGATGACACCCAGCCTGTGAACGTGCTCAATTGCAGAATCTGATTTATGAATCACACCGGGGGTGGGTGGGGGAGAACAGGGTCATAGGTGACTGTAAATTACATGTGCCAGAGTTGGCTTCGTACAGGGCAATACCAGTATGTCTCCTCTAATGAATCCTTTCAAGTTTTTTGATGTTTGGCTCGAGAATCATGATTTAATTCGGGCAATTGCTGGAATCCTGACAATTACTATTATACTGTTAAGAAAATATATTAATTACAATTGTTAGCACAAGGCATATGTACCCAGTCGACACCCTGTATGAATGAAGGATGGAATTACTGTAAATATTTTTTAAAAATAAAAATATTGAAGAAGAGAAAAAGAATTTTCTGCACTGAGGTGTGAATCTTTGTGTGGGGTGGAAATGGAACTTTAATGGTCTCTGTGTGTGTGTGTGTGTTGAGAGTAGCTAGACTACTCTACACACAGAAATAGAACTTTAATGTTATAAATATATGAATGTATGTATGTATGTATATTTTATTGTTTGTTTGTTTGTATGTATGTATATGTTGAGAGTAGCTAGACTACACACAGAAATAGTAGGTCACCTCGATCCCCACAAATGGACAAGTGGCTGAAAAAATCGATGGAGTTAGCAGAGATGGCCAAACTGACTCTTGATCAAAGATTAAACCCTCTGTGTAGACTTATACTTCGGTTGGATTTTTTAAATTCATTTGGCCCTTTAGGTTGTTGGCAGCAATTCAAAGGAGAGAAAGGTGGGTGCTTATCTCGAGGGACTGTTTGGGACTCATTATAGGCTGGGAATGAACATAATTCCCAGCACTGAAATAAAAAGAGAGTTGTTTGGACTAAGCATGTGCTTAATTACAGTCTCGGGAAGCCTTGGTCAGAATCTAACTCCACAGACATTTAGCGAGCCACAATAACGTGTGCCTCCCCGTCATCCAAGGTCATCAGAGATATCCCACACCACATACCATGAAACTGGGAAACGATGGGAGGGGTATCTTCATCGAGGTCATCGACTCCGCCCGCAATTGGGTAGGGTGGGATGGACACTCGCGGCATGACCACCCAACTGTGGTCAGAGTAGAGGGAGGAGGTGAGGCTTGGCAGCCCTGAGTTATAGGCTATTTGGAAGCCACAAATCTTCTCAATCTGCTGCCATCGGTAGAGTCGTTCTCTCAAGCAGGTAGTTAATTCAGAAAGTGCTTTCCTAGGAAGAGGTCAAGAGATTAAAACAGACCATGTTAGGTTGCCCTCGACGTACAACAGCTGGTTTAGTGATCGTTTGGAGCAGTGGTGCGTTTCAACAATGTTTACCACCGGTTCGGTGGCTGTGGCTTGGTGGGCATACTTTTATGTGCACGCACACATTTGGCGCATGAGAGCGTGCCAAATGCGCACTTTGCACAGAGGCTTTCTGACTCCCCTCCTGCAATCCTGCACTCTTTCAGATGCTGCAAGCAGCTGCCGTGCGGCAATCAAAGAAGCTACACTTCAAAAGCAGGGAATACAGGTTAGGATGGGAGCCCAGACAGGCGGGTGGGCCCAACAGCAGAGTGTCAGAGAGAATCGGTTCGGTCTCCGCTGCTCATCAGCGCTACCGGCTCGGCCGAACTGGTAGAATACCACCACTGGTTTGGAGTTACAATGCCGGTGAGAAAAAAAATGGCTGACGCTTTTTTCACGTTTTTCCCACTTATGGCCGCTGCAACATCCCCTCGTGGTCTCGTGATTTGCATTTGTAAGTTGGACAACTGGTTCGCGTTTAATGACCTTTGCTGGGTCCCCGGGCTCACACGATCTGCTTTTGCGACGCTCTGACAAGCACCGTCCATGGGGAAGGCCGGATTCACTTCACAAAACCTGTTACTGATTTAAAAAACCCCAGCGACTCCCTTAACCAACGGCGGTAAGAAAAATCGTAAAATAGGGCAAAACTCACTGAACTGATTTCTCACTTAGCAAGTGAGAGGGCTCAATTGAGGTCGTAAGTCAAGGACTTCCTGTATTTAAATACCAGTCAGCCACAAGAACAACCCTATGTAAAATTACCCACAGGTAACTGAGAAACGACAATGTAGGCCCAGTGCAGGACAGAACACAGCTGACAGAAATGCTGAACCTGGCCAAAGGTTTTCCCGACTACAGCATCTACCTGCTGCCCCAGCAGGTGCTGTGGGTCCACAAGGACACCTGGGCTGAGCATTACTTCATTTAAGAGACATGTTGTTCCATACATACAGGAGCAATATTGAAGGCTAATTCTGCTGACTGCCTGACTGCCAGCTGTTCGGCAGTTCTATTCTGATCGGCTCAAGGTTGACTCAGCCTTCCATCCTTCCAAAGTTGCTAAAATGAGGATCCAAATTGTTGCAGAGATGCTGACTCTGTGAACCGCTTAGAGAGTAAAGCACTGTGAAGCGGTATATAAATCTAAGTGTTATTGCTAATCCAATCGTGCTCCTTCCCTCCTCATCTTTTTAATTAGGGTGATATATGTTTTTTTATATAGTGTTGTATTCATATTATTAGATTTTATATAAGGGATCCTTAAAATGGGTGTTGTGGTCTGCAGGCAAAGCTGGCAGAAGACTAAGACAGTGAGGAAGTTGGGGAGGAACAGGGGCCAGTCCTGGAGTCTGGGAAAGGCTCTGAAGAGGGCTCTGCATCGGAGGCAGAGATGGAGCCAGGGCTGTCCGACAGTTATCAGCTGCCTTCAGAGTCAGAGATCAATAGGGCAGAAGAACAGCTGGAGCCTGTTTCCAGTGTGCACATGCGCAGAGCTGCCAGGAGAAGGGAACAGCTAGGGAACAAGGGTCGATTCGGGAGTAAAGGCTCAGGTGGACAGTGAATGGCCCCTCCCATAGGGAATAAAGAGGGGGAAAAGGGGAGTGATGTTTGCAGGAGACAATTAGTTCAATTCATTAGGGTGAAGATCTGTTCCTAATGTCTTACCAAGTAACTGCTGCTATAGTGTGGCGTTTGGAAGATATCAGCCTGGCAACTCTCCAAGCCTGATAAAGGTCTGTAGTTGTGAAATCTCATGAAAGACTGTTTGCCGGGACTTTGTTGGAGAGGAATTCACTTTAAACAAAATAAAAGGGGTTTTATCAGGACGAGAAGTCGGCTTCGTGCTGTTGGGGAAGCCTAGGTCAGAACAATGTGTGCGACGCACTTACGAAACAAGAAACAAAACAAAAAAAAAACAATTTTCCGTAACCAGCAGAAAGGGCATCACGCCCACTCAATGTCTTACTTTGCTTCCAGAATCTTGTGGTCCACTTCATCAAGTGAAGAGCTGTGTGCAACGTGTAATGTTCCAAATACAGTATTTCTCTTCTTTTTAATCTTTTCTGCCTGAAATGAAACATCACAGGGATTTGAAGGGGAAGAGAGACGAATTTCCTTTCTTGTGGTCGGTAGCTGAAGAGACATTCTGTCTTAGTGGCATCTTCTAAACAAAATAGATGTTGTTCTCCCTTTGGACACTTGGGTAGACTATGGGATGCTGCTTCTGAGCCCATGGTCAATGAGATCTGCAGGTGGTCTTCAGTGACCAGTAACAGAAACATGTAGCAGTCAAGGCTGAAACCTTATTTCAGAGGTCTCCAAACTTGGCAACTTTAAGACTTGTGGACTTCAGCTCCCAGAATTTCTCAGCCAGCTTTGCTGTTGAAGTCCAACAAGTCTTAAAGTTGCCAAGGTTGGAGACTCCTGATTTAAAGCATAGGCAAAAATAATATTTTTTTTAAAAAAAAAATCAAGTCATGAATATCTGGTCTGGCTGCGTCCAGGAGAAAGGCTGAGAGAATCCCAGGAAAAGCTATGGAGGGTGCAACTCTTCAAAACAGAGGTTACAGGCCTGAGGGTGGGGGGTGGGGGTGGGGGAGAAAGACAGGGGAATGTGGCACTCTTGAATTCAATGGGTTACCCCCTTTTTCACACCATTTGAAATGGATTTCAAGATCCAGGAGCAGAAAGTTCCATCCTTCCTCTGGGTGATTTGATACCATGCCATTATTATGCTTGCAACATCTCAGCAGGTTCCAGAAGCAAATCCTGGAGCATCTGCACCAAGACAAATTCCTTGTGTGTCCAATCACACTTGGCCAATAAAGAATTCAATTCAATTCAATTCAATTCAATTCAATTCAATTCAATTCAATTCAATTCAATTCAATTCCATTCCATTCCATTCCATTTCCATTTCCTGTTCTATTCTATTTCCTATTCTATTCTAATTCTATTCTATTTCCATTTCCTATTCTATTCTATTTCCTATTCTATTCTAATTCTATTTCCATTTCCTGTTCTATTCTATTTCCTGTTCTATTTCCTGTTCTATTTCTATTTCTATTTCTATTTCTATTTCTATTTCTATTTCTATTTCTATTTCTATTTCTATTCCAATTCCAATTCCAATTCCAATTCCAATTCCAATTCCATTTCCATTTCCATTTCCATTTCTATTCTATTCTATTCTCCTAAGGCCGGCAGATTGAGGTGTCCCAATCGTGGCCTTTTAAGAGGGCAAATGGAACATTGAGGACCTCTCAAGAAAGTTGCACCGCCGAACCAGCTTGTGATGATAACCCTACATTCCTGAGATGTTGATCAACAGCCACCGAGCTCACAACCTTCCATTTTGACCCAAATAATTTTCAAGTGTGCACCTTTACCTCATCCTTGGCGATGGCTAGCTGCATTTCTGCATTTTGCCTCTTAATGTTGTAGTACTGGACTTCCACTTCGTGCGTGAGCTGCAGCCACTTCTGCAGCGCATCGGGAACAGACCAATTGCTTCGCAGTTCGAACTCCTTCTCTGCCTTTTTTAAGGCCATACGGACCTAAAGTGGGGGATGAAAAGGCGATAGATTTGAAAAAAGACGCTGGCCCATTAACCATTTTGCCCAAGACAACGTCTGACAGAACCAGTTGAACATTTTGTCTAGTCTAGTGAAAAGAAGGAGACGTGATAGCAGTCTTCCAATATCTCAGGGCTGCCCCAAAGAAGAGGGAGTCAAGCTATTCTCCAAAGCCCCTGAAGGAAGGACAAGAAGCAACGGGTGGAAACTAACCAAGCAGAGAAGCAACCTAGAACTAAGGAGAAATTTCCTGACAGTTAGAACAATTAATCACGTGTGAATGCTCCAACATTGGAAGTTTTTAAAAAGATGTTGGATAACTATTTGTCTGGAGTGGTGTAAGGTTCCCTGCCTAGGCAGGGGGTTGGACTAGAAGACCTCCAAGGTCCCTTCCAACTCTGTTATTCTATTCTATTTATAAGTAAGGCTAGGATAAGGGGGTAATGAATTGATCAATTAATTGATACATCTGAAAGAAAAGCCTTCAGTTAGCCAAATAGAAGATGAATCTACATCTTGTTCTAGTTTGTTGCATAGGTCAGGGGTCCCCAACCACCGGGCTCCGGACCGGTACCGGTCCGTGGATTATTTTGTACCGGGCCGCAAAGAATGAAAGTAGGGCCTACTTTGCTTAGGCACCGCCATCTTGTTTTGACGGCGCTTGAGAAAGTGCTTCCGGGTGAACTTGTCAGTTGTCGGTTGGAAAGCGGCATTTGGGTGCTGAAGGAATCCTCGCGCCTTAGTTTCGTCGAGGGGGGGGGGCGGCTTCGAACAAAGAGCTGTCCCGATGGCGGTAGAGTCTCGCGTTACTCAGGAGGAGATTAAGAAAGAGCCCGAAAAGCCCATCAACCGCGAGAAGGTACAAAAGAGGAGTTGAAGGTGGCAGAGAAAAGCGGGGGACGGCTGGCTGGCCGGTCACTCGGCTCGCCTTGCCTTGGTCGTGTGTGCTGATGCCGGTACTGGTCCGTGGATCGGTCTGTGGATTGTACCAGTCCGTGGTACAAAAACGGTTGGGGACCACTGGCATAGGTAGCCTGTAAACATTCTGTTTTCTACTCCCATGGATAAAGTTATCCTGTTTTTACCCACATAGTTCCGCTTTCTGAAATGCATTTCTGTGACTGACCTCAATTTGCCTCACCGATTTACAGTTGCATTTATTTCTGACTTTATTGTTTATTTTTCTAGAATATAATGATGGAGACCCTTTCATTTGAAGATCAGATCCAATTCCAGATTGGACACTTCTATTCTGCCCTTCAAAAGCCACAGTAGAGCAGGCCTTTATCCAAAAAATGTACAGTGATAATTGATGTCCCAAAGGTGCTTTTTTTTCCCCAAGAGGCAAGTGGACTTTCTGGTTTTTCTTTGAGGATGTTTTGTTTCTCATCGAAGAAGCTTCTTCAACTCGGACTGGATGGTGGAGGATGGAAGGATTTATACTCCTTGCAGACAGCTGGTCATTTGCATTCTTCGAGAGTCGTTGAGACCACATGCGGGTTTGTCCACACCCATTTGCACTACTCAGGTGACTTTGAGGACACAAACAAACCCCAAGTGGCCTCAACGACTCTCCAAAAGAATGCAAATGACCAGCTGTCTGCATGGAGTATAAATCCTTCCATTCCTCACCATCCAGTCAGAGCTGAAGAAGCTTCTTGGAGGAGAAGCGAAACGTCTTCAGAGAAAAAAACCAGAAAATCCAGTTGCCTCCTGAAAAAGCACCTTTGGGACAACCATGACCTGGATGACTGAAAGTCTCCATAGACAGAGATAATTGCTGTTAGATGCAGAGTTCAAAGTTTTTTACAAGAATTTTTGCAAGCACCATGGAACCCAGATGGAAACTGAAACTTAGACTGTAACTTGAAAAATACCTGCACCAGCTCCTCTTCTGCGTATTTTAGTCTGCTGAGTTCACACTCGGCTCCTTCTCTCAACTCTTTGAGCCGGCAGGCTTCTCGTTTGGCATCGCTGATTTCATCCATCATCTTGCGTTCTAAGTTCTGCTTCTCTACGGCAACGGTTCGATTCTCTTCCTGTGCTTTTTCAAGCCTTTGAAGGTAAACATTTTTAGCAAAAAAATAACCACATTTATCTCGTTCGGTTCAATTCACTTGGGCAAACACATTAACATGACTCTAAGCTTCGCATAAAAGTGGAGGAAGAACAGTGAATGATTGCCGATCTGTTGACAAATCGGTCGGGTTTTATTCTGAAATTATGCTAAATCAGATCAGGAGCATTTTGGCTTAATCAAACATGTCAATTATTCCTCTTAACACAAGCTTAACTTACGTTAACAAACTGAACTAAGCTTAACATAGAGAGAATGTAAAAAGCAAAGGGGTAGCTGGAAGCCAATGTTTTCTCAGCTTTGGGGCCTGTCATATTTTGTAATAACAATTTGGGTAAAGTTTTTGAACACCTTAATGGAGTCTATAATCCCAGCGTTCTCAAATACCTTTCTTGCAATTCACAAAGAGATAGTTCGGCGGTCTGGAGACTTTCCAGGTCTTTCATCATTTTGGTAACGTGCTCTTTTGAAGTCTTGTTCTGCGTATAGGCAAACCAGCAACCGCCGATACCAATCATGATGGAGATTGTGAGTACAAAATCTTTCATCCAATTGTGGGGTGGGCCTAGAAAAGATAGTTAAGTGAGTTTGGAAAAAAATGCATTTCGGCATTTTTCGGATAAAGAAAACAGACACACACTGCTATTTCTTCTCGGACGTAGACTTGAGAAAGATTTTGAAAATTCTCTTTTACTAGAAAGTACATGTTAGTCAGACACGTCTAGTGGTAGAGTTTGCAAATTTGGCTTGTTTCCACTTTACTAATTAACCACAGTAAAATAAATAACCAAAGTTTAGACTTTGATCACAGGCTAAGTTAATTCATCTAAATGTGTGATGCCCCTGTTAGAATCTGATTCTGAGAGAGGAAGAATAGCCAACAGGGAGTGGGAGTGTGGCTCCTAAGGTTGTGGAGGAAACTGGAGAAGGGCACAGGCTGGCTGGGCATTCAGAGAAAGACCCAGGCCCATCGCCTCTTCATCCTAGGGCACGCAGGGAGGAGCGGATAAGAGAGCAACATGAATAGGGTGGTCTATGGGGGAGGAAAGGGTCCTGATCCCCTTCATGGGCTGCAGCTGTGAGGACTGTTTAAAAGGACAAACTGCGCATAGGCCAGTGCTGGAAACAAAGTGTGAAATAATTCTAGTCTTTCAGTTCTTATCTGAGTTCTAGCGTCCTTCCCAGTGTGTGTATTTTGATATCTGTGGACATCTTCAAGTCCTTACCCTGCTTGTCTCATTAATTGCTTCAGTGTGTTTTGTGTTGTTGTTTTTCTATTTATAATTTATATGTATTTTGAGTTTGAATGGAATTTCTTCCTTTTCGCAACTGTTTGTGGGGGAGTTTTTTCTCCAGTGAGTGATAATTGGACCTTTGAAGCCAAGTTGAAGGAATTAAAGGGACTTCACCTGTTTCTGTGACTTTGTTGCTTTTGTATCCCACCCGGGGTCATCACAAAAGGAGAAACAAAAACGCACCAACCTCATTGTGGTTGGCGGAGCATAGGAGAAAGAATTAAGGAAACCCCAAATTACTTAACATTACATTTACATTTAAACCAGCCATTCTAAAAAGCATTCCTCTTGAAAATTATTTCCCATACAGGTTCACTACAGTAAAAGCAAGGCAGGTGGGCTTCAGACTGACTTCTAAAGTGTATCGCTGAAGGAACTGTATCTGTTTCCAGGACTGTAATATAACTGGTTATGGAAATACAGAAAAGGGATGCAGCTACTTTAATGAACTGCCACCCAATTGCAGCATTCATTTCTCTTCTGCATTCTGATGCAGTATTTTGGATTCAAGTCGAAAGGACCGAACAGCCCCAATATGAATTACATCTTTTTTAAAAAAAAAAAAAATTCAACTTATGACCACAGTTGGGCCCAAAATTTATGTTGCTAAGTGGAGTTTTACAAACTTTCTTGCCACAGTTGTTAAAAGTGAATCAATGCAGTTGTTTTAAGTCGTTAAGTATGAAATACGGTCATAAGTCACTTTTTTTCAGTGACGTAACTTTGAACGGTCAATAAATCAGCTATTGTAACCGGAGGATTACCGGTACTCAAAAGCTGGCAGCACGAGGCCAACCTTCCACTAATCATCATTTAGCTTGATGAGCTCGGAGTCAACTGTTGCTTTGAAAACTACCTTACTTGAATTTATGTCCTCTTTCACAGGATCTAACCTAGTCCAATTTTATTTATTTATTTTACTTAAAAAAAAAATGTTTCCAAAGAACTAAGTGCATCAACCAGCTTGAGGGTTGCATTCTGTAAGCTGGGATCTGCCCCCACCCTTCTGAAATGAAAGAATCCCATAATAATCTCACAGGGTGCTATTTGACTTGCTTAAAGAACAAGATATCCAGTTGGGCAGGTGTGAGTCTAAAATAGCCTCGCAAAACAAATCTGAAATAAATAAATAAAACACAGAGAAATAGTTTACCAGCCTAAGATATATATCCAAGTCCATTTCAATCATTTGTGACTCGACAAAATGAAAAGAAATAAAATGTAAAGCATCCCCTCAGCCCTGGGAAGCAATTAATAACCGCCCCGGAGGATTTCTCAAGTGCCTGACCTAAATTATATTTGAATAGCAGAGTCTTAGGTTGCTATATGCGAATGCAACAGGCTTTCCAACCTGAGGCAAAGGCGAGAAGGAGAACACCACAAAAACTAAAGTGGCTTTACAGATTTTCAACGTTTTAATTTTCCTAACATACAGGTAAAACTCAAAAAATTAGAATATCGTGCAAAAGTTCGTTTATTTCAGTAATGCAACTTAAAAGGTGATCCTAATATATGAGATAGACTCATTACATGCAAAGCAAGATAGTTCAAGCCACGATGTGTCATAATTGAGATGATTATGGCTTACAGCTCATGAAAACCCCAAATCCACAATCTCAGAAAATTAGAATATTACTAATATTAGAATATATCAATAAAACAAGGATTGTACATAGAACAATATTGGACCTCTGAAAAGTATAAGCATGCATATGTACTCAGTACTTGGTTTGGGGCCCTTTTGCAGCAATTTCTGCCTCAATGAGGTGTGGCGTGGAAACTATCAGCTTGTGGCATTGCTGAGGTGTTATGGAAGACCAGGATGCTTCAATAGCGGCCTTCAGCTCTTCTGCATTGTTCGGTCTCATGTCCCTCATCTTTCTGTTGGCAATGCCCCATAGATTCTCTATGGGGTTCAGGTCAGGCGAGTTTGCTGGCACAGTAATCCCACAGTCATTGAACCAGGTTTGGGTGCTTTTGGCAGTGTGGGCAGGTGCCAAGTCCTGCTGGAAAATGAAGTCAGCATCCCCATAAAGCTCGTCTGTGGAAGGAAGCATGAAGTGCTCCAAAATCTCCTGGTAGACGGCTGCGTTGACCCTGGACTTAATGAAGCACAGTGGACCAACACCAGCAGATGACATGGCTCCCTAAATCAACACAGACTGTGGAAACTTCACACTGGACTTCAAGCATCTTGCAGTGTGTGCCTCTCCATTCTTCCTCCAGACTCTGGGTCCTTGGTTTCCAAATGAGATGCAAAAGTTGCTCTCATCAGGACTTTGGACCACTGAGCAACAGACCAGTTCTGTTTTTCTTTAGCCCAGATAAGATGCTTCTGACGTTTGTTGTTCAGGAGTGGCTTGACAAGAGGAATACGACATTTGAAGCCCATGTCCAGGATCCGTCTGTGTGTGGTGGCTCTTGACGCACTGACTCCAGCCTCAGTCCACTCCTTGTGAAAGTCCCCAACACTTTTGAATGGCCTTTTCCTGACAATCCTCTTCAGGCTGCGGTCATCCCTGCTGCTTGTGCACCTTTTTCTTCCACACTTTTCCCTTCCACATAACTTTTTATTAATGTACTTTGATACAGCACTTTGGGAACATCCAATTTCTTTTGCAATTACCTTTTGAGGCTTTCCCTCCTTATGGAGGGTGTCAATGATGGTTTTCTGCACAACTGTCAGGTCAGCAGTCTTTCCCATGATTGTGCTTCCTACTGAACCTGACTGAGAGACCATTTAAAGGCTCAGGAACCCTTTGCAGGTGTTATGGCTTAATTAGCTGATTAGAGTGGGGCACTTTGAGCCTAGAATATTGAACCTTTTCACAATATTCTGATTTTCTGAGATTGTGGATTTGGGGTTTTCATGAGCTGTAAGCCATGATCATCTCAATTATGACACATCATCGCTTGAACTATCTTGCTTTGCATCTAATGAGTCTATCTCATATATTAGGTTCACCTTTTAAGTTGCATTACTGAAATAAATGAACTTTTGCACAATATTCTAATTTTTCGAGTTTCATGTGTGTGTAACTGGATCTGGATTGTTCTCCTATGAATGGGCTTTATACAGCATGTGTACAGGAAGGAAGCCCGCAGGCCGGAAGTTGTATTGCTACAACAACTAGTATTTTCTATTCTGATTCAAGAGAATAGTTGGGCACTTGATGTAAATGTTCACATCTTCCCTTCTGCTTTTTATTTTGTTCTCCTCACCGACACAAATACACACAATGGATGGACATTCATTCACAAAGACACTAAGTAATAGCATTCTTGTAAATACCACTAGGTTATACCCTGAAGCCTAGAAGTGGGAGAAATATTAAAAAGCATAATTCTGCTAGTTCGTTACAAATAACGCATGCTTTTATGGAAGGTAGTGAAGATGTACTAACGTGTAAGGGGTCCAAATAACACCACATCCAAGGCCTTCAGCTGAAGTTTCTGTCTGTGGCTCCGATCAATAATTTTCAACTGAGACATCATAAATGCAGGCTCATTAACTGCTATCCTGTGCACAATAAAATGGAGGTTTTAAGAACGCTGTCCTGAAGAGAACTGTTAAGGGCGTAACTAAAATGCACACTGTGTCATGTTCAAAAATCTATAATCAGAGGCGCTGTTTTTTTCTATTGATCATATTTTTCCATGTATGAGACACTAACTTTTTCTTTAAAATATTTACTTAAAAATGGAGGGGCAACTTACACACGGGGGGGGGGGCAAGAGGAGAAGGTGTGGCCTATCCCCATCCTCCCACGACAGCCAACCTCACCTTGGGCGAACCAGTTAAATTACACACATACACACACACACCGGCTATCGAAGTGGATCATGGGCGCTGTGCTGCAATGGAGAAATGAGAAACGGAGCGGCCGGCAGGAGGGCAGGAGGAGGCCACTTTCCCTCTTTCTTCTCCCTGCTCCTCCTCAGGTTAGCAAAGAAATACTTGGGGGGAAGTGAGGGCATCTGGGCGCGAGGCGCTAAAATGGGCCCGTCTCTCTCCAGCACTTGCCCAGGCCCACAGGAAGGAAGACCGGCGTCTACCGGCACTTAAATCCGGCGGCATTCCAGATTTCTGAATTTGGGGTAAGAAAAGTGGGGGCAGGGGCATCCTATGCATGCGAGTGTCTTATAGACGGGAAAATACAGTACCTGTTTCATGGATTACAAATACAGAAATAATATGTCTGTAATATGCTAAAGTAAATAGAGGTAGTCCTCGACTTATGGCCACAGTCCAGCCCAAAATTTCTGTTGTTAAGTGAGAGATTTGTTAAGTGAGTTTAGCCCCATTTTACGACATTGCCTGCCACAGTTGTTAAGGGAATCACTGCAATTATTCAGTTAGCAACCTGGTTGTTAAGTGAACCTGGCTTCCCCATTGACTTTGCTGATCAGAAGGTCCCAAAAGGGGATCCCATGACCCCAGGACACAACGATGGTCATAAATATGAACCAGTCACCAAGCGGCTGAATTTTGTTCACCTGAGATGCTGTAAAGGCCGTAACTGTGAAAAATAGTCGTAAGTCACATTTTTCAGTGCCATTGTAACTTTAAACGGTCACTAAATGAACTTTTGTTAGTCGAGGACTACCTGTATACAAAAATGTCCATCTGTGAGATTTGTGCAGCAGGTTACAGATCATCCTACATAAGGGATGGATCCATTCTTCCTCAATAATGTTATATATCCTTCTCCTCTTCCACCTCCATCACCTCCTTCTCTTTATCCTCATCCACCTCCTCCTCATCTTCATCCACATCCACATCATCATCCGTATTGTGGTAAGAGCAAAGACTTCATGTCCAGAAAGCTAAATTTGGTGTGTGTGGGTGGGTGGGTGGGTGTTTGTGGGTGTGGGTGTGTCCCACGAGTGCAAGGCTTTTGTCCCTTAAATCCCTTGTATATGAAATACAGTTTACAATGTTCCTACTAAAGAGCAGTGGCTGTGCTGTTGCTCAAGAGATGTGTAGATTGGTACAATTTTAGGAAGCATTTAAAAATAATGGACATAAATGCCATAAAATCATATATAACCATTACAGATATAATTGCGTCATGTAAATTTCACTAAAGAAAAGAATCTGTAAACAATATCTTAACATAAATGTATCTAAATCGCTTTGGCATCAATATATTTCACTGTTCATGTTCAATGCACGCTGGAAGCATGATAAAAACAGAGAAAGTATGTTTCACAGAAAATGCTTCTTTTTAGTATCCTAGTATGATTTATGTTGATTGCTTATTTAGTATCCTATACCTATCATTAAGTGTTAATTTATGATTTATGATGAATACATTTTTTTGATGACCTGTTCTGTTCTGTTCTATTCTTCATTCCTCCATTCTACTCTACTCTGTTCTATTCTATTCTATTCCCATCCCATTCTTTTTCTCCTATTCTATTCTATTCTATTCTATTCTATTCTATTCTATTCTATTCTATTCTATTCTATTC